TTCATACGGGGCTTTTGACACTATCTGCAACCGGTGCAAACATGACGTCGTTCCTTAATGAAAACATCTTCATACAATTCATGATGCGATTCAGCTGTCGGCAGGTGAAGAAAGGCCTTTTTAAGTTTAGGATTGTCACTCAAGGCAATTATTAGATAAAAATATTGGTTGCATAAAACGTTGAGATTGGTTATAAAAAAAAAAGATGATTTAAGAATGGAGATGTCGGACTTCAAAAGAATATTTTGTAGCGGCACAAGTGTCCGATAGTGTATATAGTTCCTCTATAAAGAACTTTGCGTTCAAAATACAGATTAAATAGTTTCACCAAAAGTAAGCTTTAAGCTAATATAGTTTTCGATCGAAGTGCGCAGGAGCAAAAGTTACAACGATGACAATTGTCTCAAATTAGGTTTTTTTTTTCCGTTATTTAAAGCGGTCAGAAAGAGCTTTTCATTTGGCCTAAAAGAATAACATGCTTCTTTAATTGACCCTTTTTAATTGACAAAATGGAATTTAATTTTACGAAGAACCTAAATTTAATTTTGTTTTTTTTTTTGTATTGTCGCCGTAATTTTAGTAGAAATGTAACACGATTTCCTATCGAAAATTCAATTTAGGTTTAAATCAAAAGAAAAAAGAAACATCATTGATAAAATCTAAAGTAACCAAACGATTTTACGGAAGTTTGTCTTTATTATGATGCTTGAAACACACTACTTGTCTAGCGCCATAGCAGCTTAAGGCAAAACATAAAGCCACTTACAAAGTATTTCTAAGAACTCTAATTGATCCTTTTGACAGTATTTCGAAGTTGAAACAATCTGTTACGAGTTTGTTATTAGTTTTTCAGTGAATAGTTAGAACAAGTAGTTTGTAAACGTGTTGAATTCTGTCTTCCATTACAGAATGCAATATACTATATATAGTTGTCTTATATAAACAATTCGAAGGTTCTGTTTGCGACAATCTGCAGCTGTAGGAGGCGAACGAAAATGCGTCCACTGTTCACTCAGCCGTAATATCTGAAGATGTCTAGATGACGACCAAGTTGAAAAGTGTTTGATAGTAGTCTAAGATATAAGATATAAGATGCCTATATATGCAACTGGCTAATCACCTCGTAGAAAATGTCTGAAAGAACCCAACTTAAAATGTTTAAGGCAAACGTGGTATCGGGGGTAGCCAATACAAAAGTTTGTTGAAAGCAGTATGATGTTATTTTTTGAAAGCCCAAAGTGAGTATAGTTTCGTAAAGAATACTTAGACAGGTACCGTTAGGATTTCGGGTCGGGTGCCTCTATGCTACACGATTCATCGAGTTCGCGTAATTTGAGTAAAAACGTGAGGCTTTTATATTAATGTTATAGTAATAATAATCGTAGAAACGTGATTATTTTTATTATCCATTGGAATGTTCGAAACGCCATCCCGTAGTTTTCGTTGTTAAATAGAACTCTTCACTTACTTCAGTTGAAACTTGAAAGTTCGCCGATAAAACTCTGATCGCAGGCGTATAGAGATTTAAGCAGTTGTTTGAAAAGCGGATTGATTAATCCTTGGCTAGCAACGAAAACGCGATGGATTAGATTCAGTTTTACAGATAACTAATAACGTCCAAGTGCCAGGATGTTATCTCGTTTTGTCAGGCAAGTTTTTCATATGGACTTCAAGTGTAAAAAAAAAAATTAACTCAGTCCTCTTATTTAGGTTCATTTGCTTACGCCCTCAGGTAGCTGCAGTAGCCGTCTGATGCTTAGGACAAATATCTGATAGTTAACGTACTGATGAACTTGTTTACTTCGAAATTTGTTTGGTCATCTGATAGAAGATTAGAGGATCAGCATGAACTACCTAATAAGATAAGATAAGGTCTTCCTTAACATAATTTTACATTTGCAGACAATCGATAATTACGCTGACTTGTTGTTTATAAAGAAATGCATCTATAATGATGCTTTCAATGCAAAGTAAAACCAGAGCAAGATCTCTATATAATTAATTTAATTCAGCTCTGAGCATGTTTATAGCACTGTTATATTTTGATCATTCAGTATCGCTCAAGGTTACCTATTTTTGTCCACCATCACTACTTTGATCTAATCTATTACATATAGGTTACCATTAGACCGCGAACATCACAAATTAGATCAGATCTCAGAAAGGGCTCCTGTCTTTTCCCGAAGCGTTCCCAGCTATAATAACTCCGTTAATAGGATTCACAATCAATATATGCTACACTGCATTCTGTTACAGTGCGGCATCTGTAATCTGCAGTAGAAAATTGCCATTAGTCACTGTTGTGTTTATGTGGTAGAAATTACAGGTGTTACAGCCATATAAAGGTAGCACGCCGATTGATGGCTCGACTGACATATAGATTCAATCCTAACGTCTTTCAAAGCGCTCATCTTTTTGAACAAATAATCAAACAAAGAAGGAAAACCTCGACATCGCCTTTCGTACCACAACCATCCATCTACTGTTGTACGTATATAAATATTGATGTGATGAAGGCGTTGGCCGAAACACTGACGGCCTTCACGACGGGGGTGTTGTCGGCCGCTAACAACTATTGGCTGTTGTTAGATTTAGCGTTAAGCACGACGCAGGTGATTTGATCGCCATTATAACCTGACAAATGGCTCGCGTGGAGTTGTAGGTAAACAGACAGGTCACGGGCGAATCGGCGACTGATGAAATGAGTAAGACAACCATGGATGGACTATGAGTGAGCTTGAATAAACAGAGCAATCAAACGAAAAAGTGCTCCTATCCTATCCTTATGGTAACTAAATAGCTTGATTCTTGATGACTATCGAGTGGATAGGACTGACTGTCAACAGCCAGTGAGACTAAACAGGCGACCGCACTGGCAAGACAAGCTCACCACGAATCATGGTAGGCTCAACATGCTCGCTGTGTATTTAAACAGGGCAGTTACAAAGAGATTAAAGTGATCTTTTAATTTATCTAGAAGCGAAGAATGCACTGTTTCTTTTCAGGGGCAGTATAGCCTTCTACTTGGGGTAACTGACCTTATTGAAGGGTATGGTTCAAGTATTACATTCGAGTTCTTACGTAGTTTGAACAGAGACGTCAAGCATCGAAGTTGTACGTGAGTTATATGTTGGATATATCTAAATTGTGTTACCAATAACCGCCGCTTCTACCGGTCTTTCCAAGATGTGAAGGCTTCCTGCGAAACTGCAACTTACGTGTTTGCCCGAAAAGTAATTTCACTCATTTTAAGTAGACACACATAGCATGAGGATTGAACGACTTATAATAGCATCTTCATTCAAAGTAGATCACTAAGCGTATCCTTATTTCGGTAAATGTCAAAAGCATTTCGACTCGTCGATAGGGTCGAAATGCTTTTGACATTTCCATCCATCCATCCATCGCGATAGGCGGGTTGCGCTAATAGCCTCCAAAGGGCGAATGCGTAAACGTACAAATATGCTTACCACCTCAGTACGGTTACCGGGTAAATACACACTCGGATGTAATACATTGGGCTTCCCCGTAACACCTAAGCGTCTCAAATTCCTTGCGCAACGTTCTCTATGGTAATAATAAATGCTGAAAGTTGAAAGGGCTACGCCCCCGACGGGGGCGTAACCCTTTCAACATGGTGCCAGGGAGAGTGTCTTATCTAACGCAACAAATCTGCCGAAAAGATGTCGCGCCGCTTATCGTTATGCAAGATCTGTGTTTCAACGCCAAAATACCTTCGCTTCTGGAGGTACTACAATCTACGATGTTATAGAAAGCCTATGTAGCACCTACCTTTTGTACCTGAATTATTTAGGATATGCGAGAATATCATTCCAAATATTTCCGAAACTCTGAAAGTCGGGCGCTCTATACGACTTATACATACGACATTCCATAAATCAACACATTTAGGTTTATATAGAAGGATCATATCGATATATATACGAAACTGCAAAGCTCAACAGGAAAAAAGGCGCACATCCAGCTTGGCTCATCGTCATGGATTTACATCGACACAGCAGATCTCGTTTTCCCGGTAGCCTGCATCTCACTGCCGATATTGCTAGCCGGCAATCCAATGTCATCGAAGAAAAAAAGCCGACTGTTTTTACGTTACCGGCCAAGTAAGCGTCTCCGTTACTTAACCATTGTCTGTGCTCGGTTATGTTTAGCACACGACAACAACAACGATAACAAAACAGGGACAGCAGGTGATGCAGAAGCTGACGAATTCGTTCAATGTATGATCAGCTACCGGTATGGCAGCTGTACGCAATTGGCAACCACATGGCGTTCGTACAAATAGTGATGACGACGACGACGACATCAACAACAGCGATAAAAACAGGTGAAAAATATTGCTAGTACAAAACAAAATAGTTGGGACTACAATATCAAACCTCATCATTAACGTCTCTGCCAGCTAAGCGATAATTTGAGTGTTCAGGTCCGATTGAAGTTCTAGTGAACCGGCGCCAGGCCCCTCGTGATACCCGACCAGCTGCATAGCCACTGTATTTGTGGGCATATTTGATCCAAAACTGAACGAGAAATTACCGCTGTATTTCTTCGACTGCAATGTCAGCCTCAGTTTGTCCTACCGCGATTGTGGCCCCTGAACGCCGACTGAGTAGTTACTGAACGCTGAGCGGTGCTGCGAGCGAATGGGTCTGCGAATATCTTGCAGGCGATCGTGCTAGCTTCGTGTGCTACTGACCATCTACGTGTCTATCAGTGAGGGCCGAGTAGAGGGGAAGCCTATGGCGTGGCCAGCTGTAGTAATTTGTTCTTGCTGTTGTTGTTGTTGCGGCAGGCGTAGCAATGATGGTTTTCGCCGCTCGGCTGATCTGCAGCAGCCGTCTTTCGGGGGCCGGTTTGGGCTTGTTCGGCGCTCGCCTCAGAAAGACGTCACCGACTTTGCCACCACCAACGCCACCGGTGCTTGTGCGAAGGGGCAAGAGTGCGATCTTATTTAAACGGCGCAGCGAGCATTGCCCCACAGTCGACGAAGCGAAGAAGCTGTTGTTCTTCTCTGGATACACGCCCCGCGAAAACACGAGCCAAGGTAGGCAATCGACCGATCGCTGGATGAGGTTTTAGTACTTCAATACATCAATGTTTATGCTATGATCTGCGAGTGACGGTACTTCGTAGATTGAGTACATGCGGGACTGTCTAAAAATGATGCGAAACGAGTGACTTCTAGTCAAGGTTGCACGTTGCCAAGGTCACCTCTATGACCTTGGCAACGTACGTCGCACAGTGTCCCTATAGGAAGAAGAGATCTCGCCCTGAAGGTGGGGCCACCCAGGCAGTCCCTACTGACTGGTGAACCTAAGCTGCGTTAAAGTAGTCAACAAAAAAGTTTGAACGAGAAAGAGTTCGAGTGAGAGTACCGGCAAACCTCTGAGGACGCGAGTTAAGCAGAGGCTTTTGCTGGCGTTGCTGTTCAACCAGCGGTGTGCTTATATCTGTGCTTAGTTTTTAGTGCGTATGTGTTTGTGATAGGTATACGCGTCCGGGGCCGATTATTGCTGCTGCTGAAGAACAGCTGTTTCACTTTTGGGCAGTGTTCTTTTGTTGGTGCTTACTAACTGACCCCACTCACTGACAAGGGGTGTTGGCTACAAACCATAACCCACAGTATCGAGTAAATATTGTGGAGTTGCTAGTCCCCTTAAATGGACAGTTAAATGTTTTGACGTGTGTTCCGCTAATTCACAACAGGAGCATTAACGAGAAGTATAACAAAGTGTAGAAAATGTAAACATGCCAAGTGACAAATTCAGTTGGCTTTTCTAAATGTAACCTGTTTCTGAACGAATCACGAGGTGGCCATGGGCGTTTTCGGTCTCCTCGGCAGCAGACTACATTTCATATAAATATCTCAAGGCAAGCTGCAACCGAGTGTAGGATACGTTGATGCCTGTTCCGTTTAGACAGGTACTACATTCTGGCTTGCTAGAGGGCTGTCGCGTTTTTGCTAAGATTGCCCGAGCCTTCGGAGAATTTTGACACCTTCCATTTCAGTGGTCTTTCGGTGCGGAGTGCAGTCCTCTAAGACCCCTCTCCCTAACCTCGCTCAGGTATAATGAAGCACTTGTTTTCAAAATAGCAGCTGAACACAAGTCGGAATATCGTCTTGTCCTTGTTCACCTTCGGTCGGAAAAATCATCTACCGGTTTTGTGGTGTCGACCTTTAGCTGCCAAGAAACGTCGCAAGTACACGCATGCGACCGTCTCTCAATCCTACAACGTTGCCTTGCTTCTTTTTGTCCTCTCCCATCGCAGCTTCGTCCCCAGATAAGATTCAACAGTAGGCAAGAGGGCCTGCTTGCCTGTATTGCGCTTCTCGTGCTAATCGGGCAAACGAGAAACGAAGGCATTTAATTTGCTTTATAGTTGCTACTGGCAGTCAGCGTCTAACGAGGAAGGCAGACGCAAGCTGGAGATGCAAGAGACGTTGCGACACAGCGAACAGAAATCCCGTTAACGCTCTCATAATCTTTTGTCGCCGTCGTGTTCTCTCTATGCATGCTCACCAATGTCGATTTGCCTTCGCTTCTGGCTAGAGCAGCACGCACAATGGCATATTTCGGCGGCGAAGCCGAAATAACGTGTTAACAAATCCCTTGAGTAGATTCTATATCTAGGAATAGAAGTAATATGACAGCAGCTATAGTTACCGCAGTCGTTTGCCACAGTTGAAGGTGCCAGAAAAAGCTAAATATGGTGGTGGAGACGAGTAGGCTATCGTGGTTCTTTTACGGGGCGGGGGCGGGGGGGGAATTGATAGATTCAGGGGCAATAATGAACTTGAACGTTAACAGTTTCTTTTGGCATACCATCTACCCTGTTGGGCCGTAACAGAAGAAAACGGACGCGCACTCGACTACTCGATTAAATTTCATGCTCTATGAGCTGTACCATGTTCTAAGCAACATTGTTCGTGTTCTTGGGAATGCATTAGCCAATCGACACCATTGTCGTATTGTATGGCTCCTTTGTCGGGTCGGTAATGGGTCAGCCTGAAGCGTAGGGTTGTGCGGTACTTTCTCAGTGTTGAGTTGATGTTCGCGGTAGAAGTTATCGGGTATAGGACTCGGGTCTGACACGCTGCAATTGGGGGTGTAAGCGTATCGTCCGATCGACAATAAAACAGTAACGTGGGTTAACTAATAGGCCAAACTAGCCAAAACGAATAATTGAAATAAGTGGTGTTATCTAGCTGTCGCCTGGAACCCGTAATGTGCTGTCGTTTCGGCATGACGTTATTTCTTTGAGCAAATGTATAATCTTCGTAGTTCTTTCGAAGCTTGGCGTTACAGTGTTCCGTCCTACGATACGTATGCAATCTCCTAAGTATCAAAATCATATTTTATGTATATTATACGAATCGGAATTAATTATTGAAGCAGCGGCGGTACGAGACTTTTACTTCGATAGGATTTTCGTCGACGTTTTTTATTTCAACAATATGGAGCCGATTCGTATTTTATTTGTGACGGCACACAATTGAATTTCCAACGTGTAGCAAATGTATTTACAATTCATCATTCCACCCAGTGACAAGTGTCATTGGTGGAATGACATGAATTACAAGGTAACATCTCTGACGCCCCGGTGGGTGGCATATAGCGCTGAGCTGTAAAAAGCCCGAAGAGAAAACTTATGACATCTAGTTATGTATCCATGATTTGCCTTAATGATTTGATTTATTTTGTCTTTTGTAGGTAATCTCCTTTATTGTGTCTATATTGTCTACGATGTATGAGCACTGACTTCGGTGATAGACTATGTGGGACTAAATACGAAGCTTCAAGTATCACGCCGTACCGTTTGAAACCATATAGCCATTGTGCCGTTGACGGCGTCTGACAGTTACCGTTCAGTTCTGAGTTCCAGAATGGATAGAATTCTTCTACAAAAGCGTTCATTCTGCGAGTAACTGTATGTTTTTTCGAATGCACATAGGAAGTTATTGTCCGGTTCGACACTTGACCCAGCACGACTTCTCCCTTATCCGCACTTATTGCGCGTAATTACCATAAACTTACTGAAAAAAAGTAAAGTAGGCGGAAAAACGCGCCGTGAACAAAAGATAAAGGTGAATTGAGAAAAGAACACGCAACGCGTGTCCCTTTCCAAATGCATCTAGCAGTCGCAGAATCACCCGATAACAACAAGAACTTACCTCGTTGGCCTAATTGCTATCGCTCAAAGCCGGCTCACATTTGTCGATTTGGCCATGCCGACCAGAACTGCTAATAACTGCCAATAGATTTCAGATACGTCAAGTCGGTACTTGTAGGCGGTACGAATCAGACTTCCTAATTTGACTACTCATCGATTTTGCAATATAACACTATAAGCAGTACCACTCCTGCCAGCAGCTGAATCATTGAAAAGCTTGTTAAGCCATGCTAAAATGTTCTATAAATGACTACATTATGTATGTGGGTGACGCCGCTTCCATATAATACTGAGTCAAGACCCTTAGGCCGGATGAGTAACATCATCGCAGATCTCTATGAAATTGTAGTGGTCACAATGTTATTTTCAACGACAACGTTTCGCTAGCCGAAAGCCTGTGTTTATCATTAACTATGGGATCGATTTACCACCGCTACCGGAGCGCAGTCAAGGTCAGTGAAGGCCGCTATTCAACTGAACTGGCAGGGGGATTATTAGATATCGCTCGAAATCGCATGCCATCACAGTAACCGCACCGCTGTCCCGTTTGCCGTTCATCGCTTGCGTACCACAAGGCCCAATCCCTGTTCCTAATATAAAATTGCATTAAATTGGGAAAGTTTTTTTTTTTAAATTTGTTCACTACAGTGAGGCATACTTACGAGCCTACTAAGGCTGGCGATTATGAGAAGTCAACTGGCAACAGAGAGCTGAACACAGAATTGGGTCTCGACAAATCGCTAATTGTGGTTCGTTTCTGGTCATGAGGAAGAGTGATCAGGCTAACGGTTATGACGAAGCGCTTCAGACTTCGTTGACTCCCCAAAAAAAGCGTATCTCCAGAAACAGTGTTTCAATCATGTCGCGTCAGTACGTTTCGAGGTTTCTATCATTAGGTCCGGCAACGGTTAGTGGCTAGGTGATGACGGCTTGCGTGGTGATATTAGTTAGCAAAAAAGACAAGAGTCGGTCGAATAAAAGGAGGGCCACGACCTTTGAAGGTTTAGCTTTGCTAAGAGCTAAATAATAAACTCGAATCGCGAAATGCACACGCTCACACACGCGGTTCCTTCACGCTTGGCCTAATTGTACCCGTATACGTAGAAGGCAACTGAACGCAACACCAGCAGATCGACGCACGATTTTTTTCTAGTTAAACCTAACGTCAGTCGATAGTATCCTGTGACCCAGAAAATAGTATGAGAGTAATATATTTTGCTCGACAGACCCCATATAAGCATCACGTTTGTGCTAGACTTTATTGTGCCTTTGAGCAGAGTTAAAAAGAAAAGCGCAGCAACCATGTGCCTTTTGTTAACGTCGACATAGCATTGGCCTTCTACGGTAACGCTAAACTTTACGGAGCTTCTCAAAGCTGACAGTATGTCACGTTTGTTATTTGTAGAAATAGTACGTTGTTACGACAGTATCTAATATTTGGCATTTAACAAATAGTCATTTCTAGTCCACTAACAATGATGAGATAAATCCGTGCAGTTATATGGAAGCTCGAGCAGGATCTCAACAAATCTATAAACCGTGCTCTATTGTGTGACCCATGGAGAGAAAAATGGTGTAAGTTCTATCAAACACTTTAAATAGTTCGACAAAAAAATATTTCATTACCCGTCCGATTCCTACACCAAACTTACGATTATAGTATCAGTATTAATCAGCGGTAATTTCATCCGGTCACACACCCCGATGCACAGCCACTCATAAATACATGAATACCATACGCAAGAATGGTAGCGTCTACGACAATTACGGAAAGGTACAACTTACGTGCCTGGCCTGTCTGTCGTGACATCATCCAGTGCTACGGTTGCTCTTCTTTCACCGATTTAGACATTAATGAATTTGTGATTGAATAGAAGATTTGCAGTCTGCTGCATTGAATGAGCGGTACAATCATGCGGAAAATCGGCTGTATCGACATTCGGTAAATATCTCGTAACGACCCAATGGCAAAAAATGGGTCTACATCGGATCCGTAACATGGCACCGTAAATATGGCAGGTAGCCAATACTCGAAGACCATAGAAATATGTTCGTTTTTTCATTACTTCTTTTTCGGCAGCACTTTCAAACACGTCCTCGCTATGTTTACGATGAAATGGCATTTTTTTTGCAATATTTTGATGTAATCAGATTTAATTATAGGCTTCTTTTCCTGATTGTAACGGGCATGAGACGTTACGCGGTCATGCTCATTGTGCGTGTTTGTGTGGCCAACGTCAGCGTATATTTAAGGACTTATGAAGTAATAGGCTATCGTTGTCTAAATAATTGAATGGTAACTCTTCTATCTCTTCTTCTCTTCTGAGAATAGGGCAACACTGCGTTACCGACATAACCCGCAGTAGATTTGTATTGCATTAGTAAACTGCCCGCGAAAACTGCTACTGACGGGCGAAAACAAACCAATGGGAACTGCTTCAACCTTTCATAAATAGGGGGCAATTAATATTGCTATCTGTCCCTTGGTTATAAACGTTGTCAATATATACATTGATGGTTTAGCAATTATGATCACAATGTTGATGCTGAGAAAGCGGCGCGCGTCCAAAAATGTTTGCCTAAAGTCTCAGCGTTAAATGACGATGATAATGGCGATTGTTATTATTGTTCAAAGATGATTTTCCGAACGGGTTATTGATACGATACGGTTTTTGTTGAATCATTGCTATACGGAAAACGTTGTATCGTAAACACGTGAACGAGTTAGCTATTATGATTGACTGCATCGTATTTACGATATCAAGCGCTTATGTCGTAAACAAGGAAAGTTATTTATTACCTTCATTATATGGCTCGGCGCATAGTACTTGAGACTCCCTGTATACCAACTAGGTCGTAGTCCTACCTTCAATTGCGGTTTTTTCCAGCGCTTAACAATAGACCAGCATTGTCATTCAGTTGCGTTGTGACGCAATGATGAAGACTTCCCGACTACTTCACGTCCGATGATTCTTGTAGCAGCAATTCAAATGCCTTAAACATGGATATCGCCTCTGCTACATATAACGCTGGCATTGTCTTCGTCGTTTCACCTGCCCTGTCTTGTGTCTTCGACCGCGATCCGCTCGGGGGGGCTCAGTGATGACAATAACTCGTGCCAAGATCAATAACGACAGTGTTTATAGTCCATCAAAGCGTAACACTTGAAGCATGCCGAACCCTGGCGCAGCCAGGGTCCGTCAGCTAAACTAAGAGGTCCGAACGGGGAGCAAAACGATCACCAGTTTATAGCTGGTTATTGCACACAGTCAAATGCCAGTCCTGTCAAACAGAATCAGGAGTGGCGGTAACGGCAGCTGTGCTTTTAATTCGCTGTGTCAGCTAGCCATGATGCTCATCACTGAGGTGGCGGTGGTATTAACGGCGTTGTTTGAGCGTAAACTCGACCTGAGTCGAGTTTACGCTCAAACAAAAAATCGAGGTGATCTATGGATTAAATGGTGTTACTTTTTATCCCGTTGCACAAGTCCGCGAAACATACAGACGATGCACGCAGCTCTTCACTGCAACCGATGCTGAAATAACACGACACAAGAAGAACGAGGCAGATGCTGTGAATCCAAGTTTCCTCAAGCTGGCCATATTCCTATGACGGGGCAGTGTGAATAAATGTGTACACTATGGGCATTTTAAAACACGCTACTTGTCATTTTTCGGGCTGATACTCATGTTGCTGTTGAGAGCCACACTTATCCAGAGGTGTCAGCAAGGGAATACTTGGATGCTCACGCAGCGGAACTAAAACTTACTATCGGTTAACGGCAACTGAACGGAATCCTTCAGGTAAAAGCTACTGAAAAAATTATGTATTTTTGTCGATTCGTCACTAAAGCAGCTAAAGGAATCCAAATTGTCCAATATTGCGGTAAGCAATGGGCGAAAAGTTCTTTATTGAATTTTTCTTTTGATCATGGCCCAGAAAACACCGTACGATGGTACTGTTTTTATTCAATGGTCTTTTAATTAATTTAATTAAATGGTTAATTGCCATACGTGAGTGACAACAGTGCGTAGTTGTCCACCATCATTACTCATAAAACTGTTCGACTTGTATACGTCTTAAAAGATACAATATTCTGTGAGGTGATTTCCTGCTCATAGCATGTACGGTCTGTGTTCTTGGATAATTGAACAAAACGTTTATCAGTTGGAAAGTGATTTTGGTTCAGTTGGTAACTTTAAAGTTAAATATTACAACTGTGAAGTTTGACTGTGCAAAGACTTTTATGTGCTCGTTTATCGCGGAACTATTTTTTTGGCTTTTTTTTTTTTATTGAAATTTTCTAAACGTGAATGCTTCAAACAGAAGGCGCACATCATTACGATAATTCAAACGTTTCCATACACGCGAACGAGTCTAACAGAGCGCCTGGCCCTTTTCATATTCTTTACGTTTGTAAAACACGTACTTTCGAACCTACATAAACATCTACACAGATATTCATGTTATATTTACATCGAATTGTGCTCCTTTTTCGTTGTACTGCATTGTGTCTGTATACGTGAGTTATATGAGATGTGTTTCTTACCGTTGTCGTTTTACGCTTCTGCTTTGCGTTACAGATGAGGTTCGCCCTAGTCATCGTACTGGCTCTCGCCGCCATTGCCTGTGCCGAAAATAGGGTACGAAGATGTATATATACGTTTATTGTCGTTAGTCCATTGTGCATAGCCCATTCCTCTAATATACCTTGCAGCTCGGGAGATGCTTAGATCATTCGTGGCGGGTCGGAGTAGGGCTATTTCCCATTCACCACTTGCTCCGTACTCCAGCAAGTTTCGCTTATCCTTCGATACCCTTAAAGATACTGGCAGTATTCATCGTTTATTCTGTATAGATATCTCTCTATCTCATGGCGACATAACCTCCTGCAATGCTCCAAAGCCCTCGTCACCATTCCGGAACTACGCCAGACGTCCAAGGGCCAGCGTAGTTTTTCTCCCTATCTATACGTCGTCCTTGTTGGGCTACCGTGTACAACCTTACGACCCTAAGCTTAGGCTTAAAAAACCCGTGTTCTTTCACTTTCATGCCTCCTAGTTCTCTAGCAGCGACAGGACTTGATCTGAGCAAACGCAACGCGAATAGCAAATATTAGGAAGGCGATTATTTTTAAGTCTATCCATGCGTCGAACTTCCAACTGTGACCGTTAAACAGGCACACAACTCCATCACTGTCAAAGACGATCTTTAGAGTAGGTTCAATTTTCAGGTTCCAGAAGCCGTTGTTCTCTCAAAACGTTCAACGTCGCTGTACATGAAGTGCTCAAGGCTGAATGACTATACCAGTAAATGCCACGCGCGGATTATGTGTTCCTGCCCTGAGACGTTTTCCATATAAGCTATAATTCTGATACAAAGAAAAAAAACATTTACGTTTTTTCTTTTGTACTATACTGTGCCATACTCCAATTTGATCTACTTATTCCCTATCTTTAATAATTATTGTCTAATCTTGCTTAACTTTCCGTAGCAAAAGCGGCAAGCACAACAGCAGTATTACCCCGCGCAGGCTCCACAGGCTGCTCAGACACAGTCATCGCGATTCGGTCAGGCTCAAGGACAAACTCAATACCAGCAACAGCTTAGCTCGCAGTACCAGCAGGGTCAACAGTTCTCTCAGTTTGACTACCAGCAGCAGGCTCAGGCACAGCCTGCTCGTCGGCCTGCTAGCCGACCGGCTGCCCCTGCTCGCAAAATCACCTCGCAAACGTCTCAAGAAGAGGAAGAGGAAGAAGAAGCAAAGCCCTCCCCGCTTGAGCTGCTGCTCGAACGTTCGAACTTCAAATGCGACGGAAAGAAGGACGGCTACTACGCTGATACGTCCGTAGAGTGCAAGGCCTTCCATTACTGCATTGGAGGAGCAAAGAACTCGTTCATGTGTGCTGAAGGTACAGTGTTCCACCAAGTCCATCTGAACTGTGTACCTGCCGATCAGGACATTTGTGGCTCCTCGGAAAAGTACTACTTTGTCAACGACTACCTTAACAAGGAGCTCGAACAACGTGGACCTAACAACACCATCCTCTACGCTGATCGTTACTATCCTGAGGGTTTCGTCGTGGGTGACCCTATTCCTCCCGCACCTCAATCAGCCCCTGCTCCCAGAAGTCCCGCTTTTGCTCAGCAGTACGAGGATGAACCTGTGTCCCGACAGAGGTCTGCGGCGCGCCCCATTCCGCGTCAAGCCACCCCCGCCGGAGTTACCTACCGCCAAACGGCTGCACAACCCGCTGGTCAAGCAGCTTACCGACAGACTCAGCCGGTGACCCAGGCTGCGCCTGCTTACCGACAGACCCAACCCGCTGGTGTGACATATCGCCAGGTAGGATAATTCAGTTGTGAAATAATCTCTAACGCTAAACAAATATTAAAAAAAGAAGGGCATAAACTTAGACAAAAAGTTATCCCCTTAATTTATCGAAATTAGTATAGGTAAGCTATAGTGCTTAACGGAAAAGTAAGATCAGAGGGCAACCAGAAAAATATCAACAATGTATAAACCCAACACATTACGCAATGTGATATAGTTATATACCTTACAGTACGCATTTTCGATGGTAGCCCATAAGATTTAGGTCATTTTTCTTACCACATCCCCCATTGTAGGCAGGTATATACACAGAGTAGCTACTGCGCACTCTTTGCTATACGCTTAATACTAAATAAATTGCTCGAATTTTACGTTCAGTACTGCTTTTTAGCACTGCTTCAAACGGCGGGCCCTTTCGAGCATAGAGTGAAGCGTGTGGTTTTGAACCTAGACAACCTCACCCCATGTACCTAGGTTTAACAATCTGCGTCAGCATATGTTGTTGTATTGCAAAGAGCGCTGACGTAATATTAAATTTCGGCTTTAATAATGTTATAATAACTTTAATTCGTGGATTCGCAGTTCAGTCTATCCTTCTATTTAGTAGAGGACAAGCGTAGTTAGGTTTAATCTCGTCCTGCTAACAATAGGTAAAGGATTACATATCTTATCCTAGTTCGGTGTAAAATCACTGGCGTAACCTGTTAGCCAAAACAGGTTAAAAGCTGAAGGGGAGGGGAGGGGTGGGTTGCAACGAGATTTTTTTAGAATATACCTGCCTAAATCAATTAACTCTTAGCTACCTAACATTTCCGCATCGACGTGTGACAGAGCTGATTTATGCACTTTTCGACTGCAATTTCTAGCCAGTAATATGTGCATAGAATAAATTCAAAAAGTATTACCACACAAGTCGTGCTCAGTTTCTGGAATAAACCCTAATGGACTAAATACTTGAATCCGCTATCTGGAAGCGTAAGAGAACATCATATATTTCGCGTTTTTTTTCGTCACCGTATAGCTTGTTTTTGTTTCAATTGAATTTGTTAGCCAACTTCAAACATGTGATAAGGCTTATTGTTGATAAGAGAGAATCAATATTTGTCCGCTTTCAGGCCCAGCCTGCTGCACAGCCGCAGCCTGCTCAGGCCTTCGATCCGTATGCCCAGTACCGTGGTGGTCAGCAAGCTGCCAACGGACAAAACCCCTACTATCGATCTGCAGCCGCCTCGAATCCTCAGGCTCAATACCAATACGAGGATCAGAGCTCAGAGGAGCGCGGTGTGAAGTACGACGATGAATAGAAGTTTTACCCCAGAAAGCTTTGTCAGATAAGATAGTTAAAGTATCATAGATACCTAGAAATCTCCTATCGAATCCAGCAAAGCAATCCAAATCTCATAATGGTTGTAACTTGCAAAAAATCATTTTCACCACCATTGCAACGTGACGATAACAAAAAAAAACACACACACACACGGAGAGATTATTTAGAAGACAAGGCCAGCAAAAGCGATAGGGTTCAAAAATGAATTACTGAAAAAGCAAGTTTAATTCGTTCGGCTCCCCGAGATCCCACAGTATGTGCGCCTAAACTCTGTACACGGCCCGACATGCGATCGTTAACCAATAGAGATAAATATTCGACACATCGTTATGACAAGAGACTGTTCCTCTCGAAAAGCCCTCAGAGGGCTTGAAGGGCTAGAGAGACAAAGAAAGCGGGAACGGAAAAGAGCAACAAGCTTGTTTCAGAAGAGAACAGGTTCCGGAAATGGAACTATACCGCTGTTTCTAACTTCGCTTATATACAAATGATCGAATACGGTCTCAGAGTTATGGCGAAATAAGGAATCAAGTCATGACAATTATTTCATCAGATTTTTCCGCCTCGCAGAAAATAACTAAGAAGCACGAGTTTTACGAAATAACGGCAGAAACAGCGAACAGCTGTAATAAAGATGATACCAGGTAAAATCGGAGACCAAAATACATACGAACGGATGCTGCCTGCTGAAACAATTTGCACGAAGCAGCGTTGATAGTATCGGCATCGGCATATGCGTCATTTTTAATTGCGACTTTTTTTTTGCTACTTCATGTTATATTGTGTCAATACCGAAAGGTTGAAGAGGTGATAGCGGAAAACAACGAAATACGAGGATACGACAGGACGAACCGACCCCGTGAAGGTGATATGAGGTCGTCGACGATTCGAAAAAGAGTATATATGTTAATTAATAATATTACACACGGGCACGATCGTAATGGCATAGGCGAGGCGAAAGAGTTACGAAAAGACTGTCGATATTTTACTAAAAGAATAGGCGAGTGTGCCAAAAATGGTCTTCTTCCGCTGCAGTAATGCCGGTGATACTACATGAGAAAGGCTATCGCGACGTAACACCCGCTTGCTATAAGTGTCTATGAGAGCTGGAAAACTCTATGGAAATATTACCGATTGAGCTATTGCAAGATAGTTGAACTAGCTCAGACTAGAAGTTGGTATTAAGTAGGATGTACGATGTGGATTCGAAGTTGGATGAAGGAAAATAAACTAAAATAGACTGAGGTTGGACACCACATAATAGTTAAATCTATTATTAGAGGAACAAAAAAAAAAAAAAAATATATATATATATATATATATATATATATATATATATATATAAAGAAGATGAAGATGGAAATACCTAAATATGTACAAATGGGTAATAAAGCGTTTTTTAATGGATATTTTTGGTCATTCTTCCAATTGTTAACTTGAATATCGAATATATGCGAAGATACTGACCAAGGACTTCACCTGAAGCATAGCTATAGCTCAGAACGATGGCAAACGTTTAAAAAGGTCGGCATTTTATCGGCTTGTTTGTGCGAATACAGAGAGAGCACTTCGAAATGTCTGTGTTGATTTTATTCAACGTGGTCTATAAGGCTTCCTCTGTATATGGTAAAAAGCTATGTATGAAAAAAAAAGTGTTTGCAGCTAAAGCGTGCATGTTTGACTGATTTCCGATTTCTGCAGTTAGCGACATGAAAACCATTGTTATTAGTACTACATTACTTTCATTTTTTTCTGTCACTTGAACTATTACGTTTCCAGGATATTAGGCAACATGGTACCTGATAGTGAGCTAAATTATGTGTAAAAAATTCTCGCTTTAGCAGTCGACCACCACAACACATAGTATTCAGTGGATCACGCCAGACGCGCTGAACGATTTGTCTATAAAAGAAGAATGTTCAGTAGATGTCTACATTCAGTAAGTTAGTAGACAAACATTTACTAATTTTCTATGGCCGATTCGGAGACTTTCGTATTTAAGTATAACTCATTACTGAATAGTAATTAACGGGGACCATATGCTTAAGGAGGAGAATGTCGTCATCATGACAACCTAGCAACCTACATAGGAAACGCTAAATGAACTGGATGGTCATTCACTAAGGCCGCAGCCTGCGATCCACAATCGGTAGGTAATGAATTGGATAGTGTCCTATCATTAATAGCACTGAGACAAAAGTAGTCACTAAATGTTTCTGCTTGCTCGACCGAATTTCTCTATAAAATATGTAAAATTTCCTGCATTGCTTCTCCTTTTACGTTCAACGCTCCGTCTAGGCAAAGTAACCAAAAGAGTATTAAGTAAAATCTGTTTTTTTTTCGCTTATAGAAACAGTGTTTCAAATAGAACCATTTTAGTTGCTATTTCTAAGAAAAATGATAGTAATACCTATTGGATACTTCATTGATAGTTAAATAACTCTGTAAACAAGTGTTGTACCACCGACCTCGTCTCAGGGCATCACCGTTTGCCTATTTAATTTTAGTGATTTTTTTTTTATCTATCCTGACTAGAAGTGTACCTATGTTTCAAGTTGTATGTCCATTAGACATTCTATTGTATGGCTGGCTCCCAGCAAGAAACTGTGTGTGTCTGTCTGCCTATATCCAGGTTCGAACCTAGACCACAACATGTCCTTACGATTAGCAGGCGAATACGTTCCCCGATTAGAAATGTCTCAGACGAGGTCAATCGCATCGTTACATTCAGATGAGATCGATGGTGGTCCATATATCGTTGCCGGAGACCACATTGAGATGGTTTTTAGAAACAAGCTTGCTGACTTCCAGAAATCTTTTTGTGTACGGGGAGGGATAGCAGTTTTATTTAAGCGAAGACTATTTTTTCAAATGTAGTTGACATCGTATACGCAGTCTACCATGTCGCTGGCGCTACGCTTCGTTTAAACTTACGAGATCTACTCTGTCTCGCAGGGGCAGAGGTCCTGTGTCCTCAGCTCATATGATCGGCAACTTTTCGTCTAATGTACATATGACTGTTGAAAGAATGCTTGCCTTAGTACGTATCAGCAACACGGGTAGGACAGCTCCTTTTATTAGCGTGTGTTGCAATTTCGATAAAAACAAATTGGCATATTCGTACGTATAAGAAAAGTTAATTCTCTTCGGGTAGACCCGTTAACCACAGAACGATACAAAGCGAACACGATCAGTATTTAGCTCGATTCTGTGTCAAGAGGTCAAGTTAATCGAGTTTCATAGCAAAGCTCACATGACGCATAGGTGCTTTCGCCTATGAAATATGGCTTATAAATAGACGAAGGCAGACCATGAAAAGCTGAAGCTGCTAATTGGTACAGAAACCATTACTTCTTGTCTATAATAACGTGTTATATGAAAGCGTATTCTCCAACGCTAGTCACACATGTGGATCTGTTAAAAATTGGTGAGCATTTTGAGTGCGACATTCCTTCGAATTAATTAACACTGTTCAGAGTAATTACATTAGTATGTTAAAGTCAATTTCGGGACACCTACAAGACTCGACTGGTATTTTTCGACGTTCGCAAGGTCCGATGGGTTCGAATCTGCATAGAAGACATAGCTTACATACAAGCGCGCACTTAATGTTTACATCGAACTAGTCAACAACAATAATAAAGGTGCAGGTCTATAAGTTAACTAAAGGTCATAAACACAAAAACAATTCATGCTTGCAAGTAATCAATATCATCGTCACCCATACAACGAAAATGCGTACAATGTGAGAAAAGCAATATTTATTAGAGTACATTGCAGTCGATGCGACCGATTTGAATGTTATACAGTTCTTCTGTTTCAGATAGATCTGCGCTGCAAGCGTCCTTTTTTCTAGCGTTGCATGGACGCATTGCATCAAGATATGCTTATAATATAGATAATAATAAATATTTTCATTTCATTTTACTATTGAACGTCAAATTTAAGCGAGTCGGATCATGGCAGGACGCACAGTTAGATACAAATCAATATTTTGTAATATACGTACTCCCGGAACCACCAGTAAGTGTATCAAGAGAATGGCTGCTAGTAAACATAAATTAAGTAATAAATGCATATATAATTAACCAATTTTGCACATGTTTAGAAAATTATTGAGTCTATCAAGAAAACCTGGATTTGTAAATATTCTACACTAGGATTTATGCGAAACGGGTCCGTTGTGTGTCAGCTTTAGTCGCGGTTTTGCATCGATTACCTGAGCTCTTAGAGATATATCTTGAGACGACCTAGGTGCTGTCGATTAAATGATTCCGCGTTTTGATTTGTACGAGTAGAGATCCTTCGAAAAAAAAGTCAGTCAATTAGAAACGAAGTAGGGCAAATTCGTGGCAAAAGAATTTGAACAAGAGGCATCATACGGACGCAAAGGTCGACATATCGGACAGTTTTAGAAATACTGCTGACACACAGCACGGTAATACATCTGCTCAAGCCGTCAAGCTTGAGCCGTCTGCAAAAACTGTTGGCTATTAGTATTTTCAACTGGTTTCCATAATACAGGTTCTACAAATGTGTTCACACTCGAATCAACAGTTGTACAAATAATATATCGTCTGCTTTCGAGGTATTTGTCTCGTTTTGATAAACAAGATAAGATATAATGATTAGGGATTTAATTTAGCTCGTTGAGTTTGATTGTAGCTTGTTGTATTGGCGCGAGGACTGGCCATCATAAACAGTCTGTTCACATTATTTTTTACTAATTATCGATAACTGCGTCTACTTACGGAGTTATTTAAATGAGTTAATAAAATTATACTATATGATCACCTTCTCTGAGGGGAGGTCCATGTAGGTTACTATTACTGTTTCTCCATTAGCCAACCGAGATATAAAATTGAATCAATTATTTTTACAAGATCCATTCGATTCTTTAGGCGTCTGCTTTTATTAAAATTCACACAGTACAAAATGGCGCGTAGTTGAATTATTTTTCTGAAAGCTGTCCGCAAAATAGACATGTAACCTGAGTGAGGTTCGTGAAGTTGTGAGGATGAACTTCAATAGAAAAACTCAGCTTCGCATAGATGCGCTGGAATTAGATTATGGAATGCGTTTAGTTCATGACTAGCGTAAATATTGAATTTGTAAATAGAAAAATGGCTACCATATCGACGATAACGATTACACACACGTACACGCATTGTCCGAATCGCGAACCTGCAAGATTTTCGTATTCCTTGTCTCAAAGATCATGCTTTGTAATAATGTTGAACATCCAATGTTTCAACATGGTATACCATTAATAATGTAAAAAATAGTCACTATTTTATTTCAAGAGGTTTCACGAGTCTGTGATTTACCAGAAGTTTGAAAAGTTACCTCATATAGAGATTAGTGCTTTTCACCAGCTGTTCGAGCTATTCAAGCTGCGATCTTGCCGAGATGGGGCGCGAACCTCCGATAGCCATAAATTTGAATTTTAGGCATTGTGCGGAAATACAGCTCTGACCATCTACCGTCTACGACATCATCTGTGAGACGCGTTCTTCCCGGGGTTGCCGTTTGTAAGGGGGCATGTGAGCTGAGCATGGCTGCGGCCCGACCCACGAGCGTTGCCAGAAAGAACAATACGATGGTTCGAGACATGTCGGTTGTCCTGAGAATGGGTGTGTAAACAAAATTTAAAGACTCATAATAGTAAACTTCTATATCACTCAATCAATATTATTGGACATATTGTTTGAGAATTATCTAATTGAGGTCGATTAAGCGACGCGTTCTAGTCAACTTACTTTTTCCAATGGATGTCTCCAGTACACAGCAGGACAGCACCGATACACTCAGGCACACTTCAAAACTTGCTACAACTGTACTATCAAATAAAGCCTCATCACTTGATTTTTCTAAAAGACAACAAGTTTCCCATTAGCTAACATTGAGCTATTTATAGGGTTTTTCCGAGTTCAGAGGACTTTCGTACAAGTTCCTCCTGCCAGTTTGGTACGATCTGGCCCAACTCTTCTATGCAATGTTTGCTGGATACCCAGAGCAACCTGGAAGTGATGGTTATAGTCGCTAAAATAACTGCCACAGCGGAACTGAAGCTAGGAGACGTCGCCGAATCGCTTTAAACTCCCCGAATCCCGGATGTCAGAACGGCGCAGCTGTGGGGCCAGGTCGGGCAGAGGGTAACTTAAGCCCATAAAATCAACACAAAACAGAGAAAGTGATTACTGTGCTTTCGTATATACTCGTTCGCCTACTATTGCCAGTTGAGCTTCTATGAACCATTTCAAATGCCAGATGGAAAGCACGGCGCATCTGATAATCGCGCGGGGATAGACCGGGGTCCGACAATACGTAACCAAATGCGAACACTGATGCCAGACTAAAATAATTTACCCATTTAAATGACGCATTGCAAGGAACTATGCCATCTATTCACAATGGTATTCTATTTCTGGGTGGTGACTTTTTGGACAGGAACTGAGGAGAAGCTAGCCAGTAGCAGCGTACGCCAACGGTAAGGCGATTGTAGATTATAAAAAAAATGGGGACAATTAAAAGCCAGTGCGGTTGACGTCACCTAAAAAGGTTTCCTCTGAAGTATAACTTTAATTTTAAACTTCGCACTGGCGACGCGGTCGGGTTACGGGGTGTTTAGTACGCGTTAGAATGAACAGCTAACAAAAGCGATGGACGTAGAATCATATTACAGAGCCGGAACCGCTACTGAGTTCCATATTCTATAAAAAGTATAGAATAGTCCCAATGAACACGTCCATGTTGTTATTGTTACTAATACTATTTTTACAATATTTGGATGTTGACATCACATTTTCTTTGAATATTTGTCAGAATCATTTTTTGGCTAGCTAGCATTTGAAATGATTGGAATTTGAAATTGTATACTAAGCACGACGTGGAGCAGAACTTCGAAATAAATAAAAACATGTGGGATCATTATTCATTTGATTCAACAATAAGATAGATAGCTTATAATTAGTGCAGCTCCTGTTTTGTACCGCTAACTGGGAAATAACTATGTTTATGTATGGTTTGCATCGATAGCTGTTACATAGACCGGTGAAGGTTCATATTAACTTTCTAACCGGATAACTGGCATATGCAACCCAAGTTACTACAAACCATTGAAATTATACGATATATCAATATTTCACAGTTTGCAAATGTGGAAGATATTTAAGAGGAATTTTATCGTTTTCAGCACTAGTGAAAATAGTTGAAATTAGTTAAACTAAGTATCCAATTTTTTCAAATCTAATATTATAT